ATTCACATTTAGACACGAATCAATTCACATTTAGACATGAATCAATTCACATTTACACACAAATCAATTCACATTTAGACATGAATCAATTCACCTTTAGACATGAATCAATTGACATTCAGACATGAATCAGTTCACATTTAGACATGAATCAATTCACATTTAGACAAAAATCAATTCACATTTAGACAAGAATCAATTCACATTTAGACATGAATCAATTCACATTTAGACACGAATCAATTCACATTTAGACATGAATCAATTCACATTCAGACATGAATCAGTTCACATTTAGACATGAATCAGTTCACATTTAGACATGAATCAGTTCACATTTAGACATGAATCAATTCACATTTAGACAAGAATCAGGTCACATTTAGACATGAATCAATTCACATTTAGACAAGAATCAATTCACATTTAGACAAGAATCAATTCACATTCAGACATGAATCAGTTCACATTCAGACATGAATCAATTCACATTTAGACATAAATCAGTTCACATTTAGACATGAATCAATTCACATTTAGACGTAGCAAATAAGAAAATACATCATGAATCAGGTCACATTTAGAAATGAATTAATTCACATTTAGACATGAATCAGTTCACATTTAGACATGAATCAGGTCACATTCAGACATGAATCAATTCACATTCAGACATGAATCAATTCACATTTAGACATAAATCAGTTCACATTTAGACATGAATCAATTCACATTTAGACATGAATCAATTCACATTTACACACAAATCAATTCACATTTAGACATGAATCAATTCACCTTTAGACATGAATCAGTTGACATTTAGACAAGAATCAATTCACATTTAGACAAGAATCAATTCACATTTAGACATGAATCAATTCACATTTACACACAAATCAATTCACATTTAGACAAGAATCAATTCACATTTAGACACGAATCAATTCACATTTAGACATGAATCAATTCGCATTTAGACATAAATCAGTTCACAATTAGACATGAATCAATTCACCTTTAGACATGAATCAGGTCACATTTAGACATGAATCAATTCACCTTTAGACATGAATCAATTGACATTCAGACACGAATCAATTCACATTTAGACGTAGCAAATAAGAAAATACATCATGAA